CCCTCCATAATAGCATCAGACAAAAACCAGGCAGAAACAGGATCTTCTATATAACTAATCAGGATCTTTTTCTGTCTCCATACATGTTTTTCCCAGGGTGCTAGGATGGTAAACATTTTAGCAGAGGGAATTAACTCTACTTCTCTTCCTTTATGTTCTGTTATCAACGGGACTAGCCCACACCCTCACTTTGCCTCATTTTTGGCTCTGTTTCTAAACCCTAAAATTCCTGTTCCTGCAGTGAAACACAATTAAATTGAAGCTTAATGTGGTGCCTGTTTTATGTAATCTTGCTTTCTGGCTTTTTTTTTTTTTATTCTTCCAAGTCTGAATCTCATGAATCAATGTGTATTCACATTTCATCTGAAATTTTCTAGCTCTCCTCAGTGTGTCCTAAAGCTTCCCTTTTTTGGTTTATGAAATAATAATAAAAAGCTTAACTCTTCAGATTAGGTTGTAGCTGCTTTATACATTGGACAGGCAATTTCAGTTTTACAAAGTAAAAATGGTGTGAGAGAGAAATTGCAGCTTGATTATTTTTTTGAAATATTCAGATTAGAATGTCATCTTTTATGAGGTTTTTTTTTTTATAACCACTTAGATTGATACAACTCTCTAAAGCTGCTCTGTTTTTCATCACACATTCTCATCTGTAAACCCTTCATTTTTATTAATCTCTGTACAATCTGTACAACTCTGAGATTAATCATTTTAAAAGAGCTACTCTGCGAGTGTTAAGGATTTGCTGGGCTAATGGTAAATGCAAGTGCTTCTAAATACTCCACAGCACAGAGCTCTTCCTTTGCAAGTCTCAGCCTTTGTTTCCCAGTTATCTAGAATTCCATTTTATGGCTGTGCTTCCAGCTCTGGCTGTCTAGATCCAAAGAACAAAATACACCGAGTCCTTTTTTTCACCAACTAACCCAAACTCCAAATATTTACAGTGCATTTCTGGCTCTGAGCAGTTCTGATTGAAGTTACAGGGAGTTGTATATTTACAAATAATGGCAGAGCTGGACTGAGTGAGGCCAAATCCTTCAGTCCTTGCTCGAACAAAAATTTGTGTTGGATCCTGGCAGGGCAGTTTGGCTGCATCTGGTCCTGCTGAGTTTTGAGTCCTTTTAGGACCTGCAGAGAGATCACCCCAATGTCTCTCTTAAGGGTGAGTCTGGGCCTCACTGGGGACTTTTTCTGGCTTTTTTTTTTTCTTTGGTTAACTCAGCTGAGCTTATAAGGCATTGTCTCTTTGCCTGCTTTAACACAGAGTGCCTTACTAGAAAAGATGAAAGTTAAGGACTGTGCTACCCTCTGGAGATTTCCATTTAGTTAATGTACTGCAGGTATAAATTCACCAGTCACTTGTATTCCTCGTGTATGTGGCATTGCATTATCTCCTGCATGCAATAAAGCAGGGGTTTGAGTTTAATAATGGATCTAGATTTGTATCTCCCCTTCTATCCCTGCCTTTATTGTGGGATATAAACTGCAGCCATATGAAACAAGCCAGCTGTGCCAGCTGTGATGTACACCTTGTGGCATAAATCATGGCTAAAGCGTGGAGCAAAGAGGCTGGAAGGGAAAGAACTCTAATTTCCCCACAAGGATGCAGAGTGAAGGCTGAACTTCCAGAGAGCAGCAGTGCAGGGACAGCTTGTGAAAACTCCTCCTTCAGTGTTCCAGTTTCCCACTAAAAGGAGTATCCACCTGTTAATTCCTATCTCCCCAAAGTGCACAGCACTCCATAATGAATAAACAGTGTTTTAACCAAGAAATCTCTCATGATCCATTTTGCTGTCAGCAGCCATATGGCCATGCTGAGTGCCAGCCAATGCTGATGGAAATGTGCCCAAAGTAAAATGGGAAATAGGGCTCCTGGTTATTAAAGCATCTCTCCTAGGGAGCTGGTTAAGGACTTAGTGTATTTTGGGTCAAGGGGCTCAGAAAGCAGATTTTAATCTTCATGGATTCTTGTATGTGCAGTTTTAGTGAGGTACAATTAGAAATAAGGGGAGGAAATGAGTAAAAGGCTGGTTGTGCAGGAAGGCTTCCTAACTGTGCAGTAAAAACTGAGCTGGAGATCACCTGGGGGATACCTCTCATTCATGGAGCCATTCCTTAGGGCACAGACAGGGGCTTTGTTCTGCCTCTCATTCCTGGGAGGAATTATTTCAGAACTAGCTGGTCCTTACAAAAAGGGTTATCACTGAAAGATGAAAACCATGGGAATTTGGAGGGAAAATGGGGCTGTGTTTTATGGTATAAGATTTTACTACATATTCCTGCTTCTTCTTACAAAGCTTGTGTCCTGGGAATTCTTATCAGCCTTTGTGCCTGTTGTTTATTGTAGTGTTTAAGGCTGTCAGGACAGGCGTGAAGGGGAGGTTACACTCAGGGTGACCAGTGCTGAAGTTCACATTTACCCTTGATTTACTGCAGGTCAGCAACAGCTTCTGCTGCAGAGCTTCCTCCTTATCAGTGGTGGCTCCCATTCCATTCCATTCCATTCCATTCCATTCCATTCCATTCCATTCCATTCCATTCCATTCCATTCCATAAAATGCACAGTGTAATTTGTGATCAACGTGGGTATTACCATGGCTTGGAGGATTTCAACACCCCTCTCCCCATTTTAAAAAAAAAATTATTTATTTATTTATTTATTTGTTTATTTATTTATTTACTTGTACAGACTTGCTGCCTTTAAACAGAGAGGAAAATTTTGATGTTGGTGGGGAATCTGTGCTGATCAAATGGTGATAGCAGATGGTAATTTGTTACTTGAATTAGGCAGCAAAAGGCCACTTGTGGGCTCTGGGCAGAGAGGAGACCCCATTTATTTGGAACATGGTGCATATCTACAGCATGATTTAATCCATTTAAATCAGCTAATGGTATCTTTATCTATTATTACAGAATTAATTACAGATATTACTACAGAACAGAGATTCTGTCTTGTCACCCCCCATTAACTAATTCCATTATGACCACCTTAAAACTGAATTAAAATTGCACTAAGCAGAGCACGCCTTCCCAAAAGATGTGGCCTTTGATGTGAAGGGACAGGTGGAGGCAGGATTTGAAATGAGCTCTGCAGAGCGGTGGAAGAGCTGGCCTCAGAGAACACCTGTGGCAGGTCGGGCCAGGGCTGAGGAGGGCAGCCCACCCTGGGCAGGCAGAGCTGCTCTCATATTGGAATATGAATCCCAATATTACCAGTTAGATTGTTCCTGGGCCAGTCTGACCCTCGCTGCTGAGCCCAAGGCGGCATCTGTGGTGTATCACCCCAGAGACACCTTTAGCTTGCCGGTGGTTTCAGCTGGGCACTAAACAAGTCCAGGCTTGTTAGGAGCTCTGTTTACCTCAGGAAGAGGCTTCAGGCGAAGGTGAAGAGAAAAAATGAGAGGATTCTGCTGGAGGGTTTAATATCCAGAGGTTTATTCCATGGTTACAGAGGTCTGAATCTTAGGAACAGCTCCAACAGAATTCCGACCGCATGGCCTGATTCACCTTTTAAGCTCAGGGGGAGGGGAGGGGACAGGTGAGCCACCAACCAGGTGGGGGGGCGGGGTCTCAAGGGACGAGGGACACCTAGACAGGCCAATGACCTCTGGGCCTGAGTGGCATCCTTTGAACTTGACCAACCACACGACGCCTTTGCTGGAATGTTAAGCCTGATTGACAGGACTCGCTCAGCATGGGGGCGAGGGGGGAATGGAGACCGGTATTGGCACACCTGGGGAAGGGACCTGAAAGTTTAAAACACACTGCAACACTCTCAGACACTGCTCCCCTCCTCTGCAGCAGCCCCACAAACCCTGTGCACACCTCCTGCATTCCAGCTCTACTGCCTGCTCTGCAAATCACTTAAGAGCTTTAAAACTTCCTTGTAATTCTACTCTGCACATGAACTTTGAGTGGAGGGAAGGGAAGGACCAGTGAAATGAGAGTCTGGACCTCAGGGACCCCTTCAAATTGCTATTGCAAGCACTTGGCAGAGGCTGGGATAACATCCTACATATCCATCTCTGTCCCTAGCTGTGTGCCCTGGGATTTTGTTCTGGGCCTTCCAATTTCTGGTGCTGTGCAAAACGTGTACACTTGCCATTGCCAATGTGCACCTCCACAAGTGATAATGTAACATGCTCCTTCAAAAATTAAACCTAAAATGCATTTATGTGGTTCTGACATTAGGAAGGCTGCAAACAGGAGACACAGCAGTGTTCCAACATTCAGAATTTTGAAGACCATAATTAGACAATGGCTGTGGCAGCTCCAAAACACACCAAAATTTGCAAATTCTTAAAATTATTCTGAAAATTTATATCCAGTGGGGATAGCTTGTTTTTTTTTTCCCAAATTTTATTTTTATAAAGGGTTAATTTGTAGCGTATCCTGCAAGCTGATACATGGGATAAATAGTTTAGACACTGATTTGTAATCTCTGTTTATGAGTACATGACTGCTATTCTTATAAATGTCATCACTTGCTTGGTAGTATCAGGTAATATCTGAGTCATGAGGTGCTGACAAAAATCCACTGCACTTAATGTGAAACTTGAGGCATTTTGCTCATTCCAAAAGATATTAGCAATAGCCAGCCCCACGTTTGACTGATAAATAATGTGAGCATGTGCACATGACACCGTTGTGCTGCTATGTGAATTTTCCCCTCTTACCTAAAATCTTTGTGGAAATACATCAGAGTTGAAATCATGACAATTTCTTTTTTTTTTGCTGTTGTTTTTTCTTTTTCCCCTGGATGTTTTAATGGATGCTAATAGATGTATGTATGGAGTCAGTGCACTGTGCCAGTGGGAGCAGATCCATGTGCATGAAGGCAGAGCAGGTTTCCTTTGGTGAATTTCACTTGAACTTGGATATCATGGCTGCAAAAGCAAACTCTGCATTTGTTACCACTGACTTAAGGAAAGAAACCTCTCACATGGAGCTGTGTACTGAAAAATATCTGATTTTTTTGTTATTGCCCTCTTTACTTGCAGACACACAGCGGGATATGAAAATGAGAACCACAGTGCTCCCATGTTGTACAGCTGTGGGGCCCAGTACAGAATACACACCCACGGGGTCTTCAGAGGCATACAAGTGAGTACTGGGGAGCATTCCTCACAGGGAAGCAAAACTGCAGCCTGTTTGTGGTGTTCACTCACTGCTTGACTGGTGTTTGTGAGCCCATCCTTGATTTGTGGCTTCCCCACCTTGTCAAGAGATGCTTTATGTGTGTCCTGACCTCACTGAAGTCATTGCACTCTAACATAAGATTTCCTTCTGACACAGTCCTTTAAAATTGCTCATCTCTTCTTCTGAAATAGTCTGCAAAGCAGTGTTCCTTTCTGTGCTTACTTACCTTACCAGCTGCTCAGGATGGCCCAAAATGAGTGATCCACTGTGCAGCTTCCAGCTCCTGTCACTCTGGCCATGAGTGATATAACCTCTGTGGTTATATCTAATGTGACCACATATCTAATCTATGTTTATAGGACTACATCTAATAATTACATATATCAAAGTGTCAGATTTCATTTTGCTTTTACGTGTTTCTCAAACTTTAATTCAAATGGATTTCCTTAAAACTAAATATGTGATTGTTTCCTAATAACTAAGTAATTAGTGAATATTTGGGAGGAACTTACCATTCACGGGAGTTCATTTCCTCCCTTTCTGAGACAGTCATGTCATTATTAAATACCCCTGTAAAAGACATACCTTGTTAAAACTGATGGCAAAGTCATTACAGAGTGTCTGTCTCTTCTGTGTTTCTCTGTGTTGTCCACGTACATCTGTGTTTTTAGATAGCATCTTCTCTCCTTTTCCTTTTCTGTGTAGTTTAGCAAGTCATTATTCAGTAGCAAGCTCTCAGAAACAGGCTTCTGAACCGGCTTTTGTTGGGTGAATGAAAGTAAATGGTCAACATTATTTAAGGAAGTTAATTATCCCAGAAGGAGGAGATCATCTTTGATGGAACATTGTGACAGTGGCCAAAATGCATTAAGGCTGACCTATTCACCAGCTCCACATAGACAGTTGTTTTTGTTTTGTTGTTAATCAGTTTGTGTTAATCCAAGATATCCATTTCCTTGTCCTTTAGCTTTATATGAGTATTTAAAATAAAAAGGACAACACTCGTCTGATTCACGCTCTTTCCTCTCACCCTGGTATAAACTTAAAACTATTTTCTGTGGCAACGGGAGTTCTGCCAGGGCTGTGTGGTTATACATGAGGTCAGTGTGGGCCATTCAATCTCTCATAGAAACACTGGTGAGAGAATTCACTGAGCAGACCTCACTGTGCTTCACCTCCAGATGATTTTAACGCTCTGCAAAGAACCAGTTAAGGTGCCCTAAAGTCGCTGACGTAGAATAAAGCAAAATTTCCCGTTTCCAGCATGATCCATCCAAGCATCCCTTTGTGAGGGGTGTGAGCTGGGTGTGAGCTGAGGACCCCCAGGTGGGCTCAGCAGGTCTGTGTCCCCGTAGGACGTGCGGCGCGTGCCCGGCGTGGCTCCCACCATCGTGCGCTCGGCCAGCGAGACCAACGAGAAGCGTCCCTTCATGTGTGCCTACCCTGGCTGCAACAAGAGATACTTCAAGCTGTCCCACTTGCAGATGCACAGCAGAAAGCACACTGGTGGGTATGAATCACAGCACAGCAGAGTGGGCAGGGGGGGCTGGAGGTGGCACAAGGGGCAAGGAATGGGCTGGCAGGTCAGGGAGCGCGAGAATCCGTCAGATCACAGAATCACAGAATCACAGAATCACAGAATGATGAGGTTGGAAGAGACCTCCAAGATCATGGAGTCCAACCTGTGCCCTAACACCTCAGCCAGATTACAGCACCAGATGCCATGTCCGATCTTTTTTTAAACACATCAGAGATGGTGATTCCACCACCTCCCTGGGAAGAGCATTCCAGTACTTTATTATTCTTTTGGTGAAAAATTTCTTCCTAATATCCAACCTACACCTTCCCTGACGTAGCTTGAGACTGTGTCCTTGAGACTGTGATGAGTGAGCGTGTGCTCTGTCACCTGCGCAACCCCTCTTTGTCACCTGGGCAATTCCTCTTTTTGTCACCTGGGCAATCCCTCTTTATCACCTGGGCAATTCCTCTTTTTGTGACCTGGACAACCCCTCTTTTTGTCACCTCCAATCCCTCTCTTGGAGCTGAAGCTCTCTGGATCCAGCTAAGGAAAACACACAGCAATAGATCACCTCCCTCCCTCTTTTACTGTTACAGGGCTGCGAGTTGTTTTCTCTTTTAATTATTATTTTTTTAATTCTTTCCCCTCTCATTTGAGATCATTGAATCTCACTCCAGATCTCTTCTAATGTTAATTATGAAGAATTTTCATCTGCAAGAGGAACTTAGACATTCAGCATCCTCTGGTCTCCTGTGTAAACATTTTCTGGTAGGCAGGGATTGGCAAATCCTTCATGGGATCTTTCCATGAGGGATTGAGCCTGAAGCCAGTCATTTGCAGGATAATGTCTGGATTCTCTCTGAGTTCAGGAAATAAGACCTCAAAATGTGGAAATCAAATACTCTGCTGCACCTTGCCAAAGAGCAGACAGAGTTATTTTCCCTGTTGGGAGATTGATGCTGTTGGATGTATAAAATTATGATAAATCTTTTGATTTATCTTACGGGTTCTCTTTTTTTTTTTTTTTTGATTGCCTGTCATGTTTTTATTTAGAAAGTTCTTTCTGTGCTTACCTAGAAGTCTGTGGATGTAGTCTGTGAATATGGATGTATGGATGTTGAGTTAACCATTGATGTGATGGAAGACCAAAGGGATGGAAGAGAGCAGGAGGGCAGCCCATGCTGGGTGACCTGGCAGAGTGTCTAACACCTCATAAAGACAGCTGCAATCTTCTCCTTTTGGAGGCCATTCCGTCACGTAATTGTGTCAACTGTGAGAAATGCACACAAAGCACTTTTAATTAATGAATGGGCAAGTCAGAAAATATTGAGACAGCTGTCTTCAGAGCTGCTGAAATGAAAAATTTAAGATACTTCAGACTGTAAGTGCAAGCTCATCTTTAGAAGGGAAGGTCTACAGGAGTGCTATTCTATTTTCTATAAATGAATTCGAACCAAGAACATTGGGAAATCTTTTGAAGGCCATTAAATTCAGTATTGCCTAAACAGTTCTGAATTTTTTTCCCATAATCACTGTTTCCTTCATTCCTAAATTGATTTACTCCATGCTTTAGCAGTCATTATTTGTTTGCTCTGGTCCTGTATTTTATTCCATTTAGTTGCTTGGCTTTCCCAGTGTTATTTCTGGATCAATCACAAGGACTTCAGCTTACATATGTTTTTTCCTTAGCTGGAGAAGATTTTTAATATTATATAATATATAATTTAGGCTTGTGGAGTCAGAAAACCCCCAAAAGACATGGGGGATAGGCCTGTGTGTGTCTGACACCCCAGAGGAGGGTTAGAGGGGTCCCATTGTCTTTGGGGCCTCTCTGGTCCAGGCTGCAGTGGAACTGGGTAGGGAAAAAACACTTTTTTCCCTTCCAGCACCTTTTCTGCACAGGTGGGCACAGATCCTTCTGCACACACATTCTGATATGCAGACAGGAAATATTATTTGTTTCTCAAACCTTCGGAAGTTTCTTTCCATAAGAGGCCAGCTTGTTTCCCGAAGCAAAATTTAGAACTATTTTTTTCCCAAAAAGAATGTGTCTGTGTTTGTCACACCTCTCCTAATCAATCAAACAATCAATCAATCAAACAAACAAACAAATTAATCTTCCTGCAAGGGGGTTCTGGACTCACTTATGGGTTTGGAGCTCTTCCATCTTATGCTGTCTGTGTCTAGTGCTAGGTCAAAGATTTTGGTCATTTTTTAAAATGATGAACACATGATTTGAAAACAAGCTGTTACATATATATGATATGAAACCAACAGATTGTATCTTTGCAGGATACTGCTGGCTCTAGGTTATATTTTTTATTTCTGTAATAGATACATACAAAGGACTGGCTCATCAGATCTTCCATCCTTCTTTCCCACTTGCTGTATTGCAAAACCAAGCAAGGCCCTGAAACACAAAGTTGGATTCTGTAATCAGTTTTTACCAATGTTTCAAATAGCCTCAGTTGAAAATATGTTAACACTTTGTACCCTCTGAGGCTGCTTATCTGTTCTTAACAATGCCTTCATTGAAACATGCACAGCCAAAAAAGCTTTTTTCTTATCTTGGTGTATTTTGCTGCAGCAGATAGGCTTCTGAAAGGAAATGCAGAAATACATCTAACTTTTCAGCTTTGCAGCAAATAATGTGAGTTGTCATTCCGTGGCAGGCTTCAGGCTCTTCCCAGCAGAAACAAATTGATGTCTAGACCTCCATAAATTTCACTTTGGGTGGAAACATCAGCATTCCTGTCAGAGACCCTTTGGATTGAGTGCCACTCATTGGGAAAACTGGATTTATCCCAACACAAAGCTGAGCAGGAGAAAATCCTGCAGATTTTCTTTGCAGAGGGAAAATCCTCTGCCTGTTTGCCAGGGATGCTCTTTAGCCTAAATGGGTTCATGCTGGCAGGTATGGGCTGCAATGGAGTATGAGAATCTGTAGCTCAGGAAGGTTGTCCTTTATGGGTGGGTGTCGAGCTGTATCCTTTCAGGCTGATATTTCTACAGCATAAAATAAAAAATACTTCGGGAACTAAAATGCAAAATTAATTTCAGAATAGTAATGACATGCCACAGCTGAGCTGTGAAGATGACAGAAAATGTTACCTGTAAAGGCTCCCTAGTAAATAAATCAACATGTATTTTCTGTGAGTTTGCTAAAGCAAATGATATTAAATAAAAATGTAGCATTAGCAAGGCAAAGTTGTGATCATGGGGCTTGTTTGATTAAGTGGGTACACTTATTTAAGAAAAGGGGTTTAAATTGGTGAAGGATGTATAGACCAGCCTTTGGATTCTCATTCCCACTTTCAGGCTCTGGTTTCAGAATCAGCCTCCTTTTCTCATCTGTTCTTGTTAGCAGCCGGCTTCTACTCTTGCAGAAGTCCTTAATTAAAGCAGTGACTGTGAATATTTTGTGCAACTGCTACAGCAGTAGAATTTTCTGTTTTCCCTGCATGGGAAATGAATTTGCTCCAGAGAAAACATGCACACTTCCCTCAGTTTAAATTAACTGCTTTTGACAAAAATCTGTTTTATTAGAAACATTTCTTGCATTATGTGCCAAGGCAGATTCACACTTGTTTTACAATTCTTGACCTTTTCTTTTAAAATTTTTTTTCTTAAATATTCAAGGCATGCCATATTCAAGACATGCCATTCCCTCTATCCTCTCCCATCTTTATTATTTCATTATGCCCTTTTTTCCCCACTACTTTCAGTGGTGTAAGGGATGATGTCTCAGGCAGAAGGGCTGGTGAAGCTCCATCTGCATCTCCTGGCCTGTTTTGGAGCTGTGTGTGCTCACATGAGGAGGTGACAGCATCACTGGATATTTTCATACACAAAGAGACTTCAGCCTTTTACTGGAGAGGCTTTGGCAGGGCTGGGGAAAGGAGACACTCTCACTGTGGGAATTTCATGGGGGACTGACCGACTTTTTCTCATCTGGGATGTTTCTGTCGTCCTGTTCTGAGGAAATTTATGTGGCAGTCAGCTTTGGCAGCTGACACAGAAGATGAAGAAGGAAAGGGGAATTAGGATTTCAGTCTAATGTTGTGCCTCTTTTTGTTTATTTGCTTTTTGTTTTCTTCCCAGTGTCATCATATCCCTATGTAAACATTTTAGATTGCTTCCTTTAATATCTTCATGGGTTAAATCTGACTTTAATGTAACCAAGATTATTTTCCAAAGTATTTAAAGAAATACTTTCATGTGCATGCCATCAGAGCCTCTATGCTGCTTTATTCCAATGCCTCCTTAGCCATCTTCTAAGTTTATATTGCAATTAGCAGACAATCATCCTGTCACTGCACTCCGCTCTGCTGACATTCCCCCTCTTAAATCTGCCAAAGGGCTGAATTCCTTGGAAGTAAGTGGTTTCTGGAAAGCAGGCACCCCCCAGGGAGTCCTTGTGGTCAAAGAGTATGGAACTATTTCAAACACCTGTGGCAACTTTAATCTCCTATGCTAATAAATTAAGCCCAGCAGACATAGAAATTGTCCACACCTCGGTTTGAGAGTCACTAAACTCCTTGGGGGTGGCTGCCACAGGAAGTCAGCTTGCTCTTGCAGATTTAGTTGCTTTTGTAAAATTTTTATTTTCGCTGCACCAGGATGAATTTGGAACGCTCTCCTTAATATGTTCTCTGTCACCTGGGTCCAATGCATCTGCTTTAAACTAAACTGGTTTGCTCTGGTGTCTCAGAATACCAGTGCAAGCAGGATGAATGTCCTCACCATAGAATCAGACATGCAGACACCTTCAGTGGAGGTTAAAATGAAACAGGGAGAAACCAACCCCTCTGCCCACTCCAGGTGGTGTTTTCCTCTAGGAAAAGGTCCCACAGGACCCTTGGTTTACATCTCAGCTTCCCGCAGCAAGCAGAGCTGCTGCCTCTCATTTAATAAAAGGGGTTTGAATTGGTGAAGGACATACAGACCAGCCTTTGGATTCTCATTCCCACTTGCAGGCTCTGGTTTCAAAATCAGCCTCTTTTCCTCATCTGCTCTTGTTAGCAGCAGGCTTTTGCTCTTTTTTGCTCTTTTACTTTTGCAGAATTCCCAGACAGAACCCAGCATCCTCCCAGCTCTGCAGCTCCACTCCTGCTCCTGCTGAGGCTCTGTGCTGTGCCCCTGAACCAGACCTTCTGTGGGCAGAAATGCCATTTTATGGAATTTAGATTTAGTAAGACATTTCTTAAATGTAATAGGTGGCTGAGGCTTCAGCAGGATTCCAGGGCTGTGCAGAGGGATCTCAGGTTGGGAGTGAGTCAGACCTGGAAGATCATGGAGCTGCTCCTGTAGCAGCATAAGGATTGTTGTGGCTGAACTTTCCCAAATTTCACCCCCCCCTGTGCTCTGCTGGCAGCATTTCCCTCTTTCCTCAGACTCCTCAGCTGCTGCATTTCTTTTTGCATGTTTTTGTGCATTCCCTTGCATTGAAATCCACATCCATTTGAGACACTGGCTCCTGGGGATTTCTTTTCCTAAAAATCTCATCCCAGAGGAATCCCACCCTGAGGATCTCTGCTGAACTGCATGGCAGGAGGGGAAGAGTTTATATTTACATGAGGTTTTGCAATAATTCATGGCTTTGCATCTACATGAGAAATTCTATTTAATAGCACTTTATGGAAGAAACCTAATTTGTGTTTTGGGGAAGAATATGTCTTTTTTCTGAGGTTGAATTTTTTTTGCTCAGTTTTTTTTCTAATTTCTAATTCTAATGCGGTTAAAACTGTCACCTGTGTGGATGGAACTTATTTAGCTTTTGCTTTAAACCCAATTTAGTTCAAACTGTGATTTGGTCCTCTGTATGAATTATGTGCTGCTGAGACAGGTGATACTGAAAGGGTTTAATGGGGTTTTTAGGGAAATATAAACCAAGACATTCCTGTTCTTGGTTTCCAGCAGAAAAAAAAAAATTAAAAATTTTTATTTTTGCAGCTTTAACTTCTAATTTCTTTAGAGTGAGCAGATTCAGTCTCAGTGTCAATGCAGTAGAATTTTGCCAGCCTTTCCAGCAGAGCTGTGTGGCTTTATGACAAATCAGTCCTGGTGTGCCACTAGACTGCTTCAGGCTGCAGAGAAATCTTTCAGAGCAGCACATTTCATCTTCTGGTTCAGCTTGAGGTGCTCCCTCATTTTGCCACATTTTCTAACAAACTGTTTTTCCTGCCCAGGTGAGAAACCCTACCAGTGTGATTTCAAAGACTGTGAAAGAAGATTTTCTCGTTCAGACCAACTCAAAAGGCACCAAAGACGACACACAGGTTTGTGGACAGGACCTGCCTGCAATTAGAGTTCATACAGGAACTGTGATCCTGAAATTACACTCCTGAAATTTCTATTTTTCTGATGTTGTCTGCTCACAACACCAAATTCTTGAAGTTAATTTTAGGGGAAGGCCATGGCTAGGTTTTTAACTGGCCTTTTAGCACTACTGACTCCATCATCCTGACACCATCTTTTGAAACAACTTTCACAATGGAACTGTCTGCTCTATATTCTATGGGCATTAATTAAGAATAGATTGTGCTTAAAACTAAACAGTTCTACAAGAAAAATTTGCCAATGTGTAAAATTTGCCCAAGACCTGTGTTTTATATATGAAGTAAGTTAAACCTGTTGGGGGCACATGAAAATAAATTTCTGCACGTTGATTTTCTTCTGTCCTGTTTGCTCCTGCAGGATGCCCTGAGTGGCAAACCTCAGGGTCAGGATTAACCATGTTTGCAGATGATTTCAGTGAGGGTTTGTTTATGGTGGAGCTGTTCAGATGCTTCAGAGCCAGGCACTGGCAGGGGAGGTTACAAAGGGTGGGGGCCTCATCAATGACCAACTTTCTGTAATGTGTAGGCACAGGGATGGGAGGAGCAGCAACTAGGACAAAAAAAAAGAAAAAAAAAAGAAAAAAAAAATAAATCCAGGCTTTTGAAACTTCAGAAATATCTGATTTCATGCACCCTTTCAAAAATGTTGGGACGTAAGAAGAATAGAATTTTTTTTTTTTTTTGTCTCTTAGGTGTGAAACCCTTTCAGTGTAAAACCTGTCAGAGAAAGTTCTCCAGATCTGATCATCTGAAGACTCATACCAGGACTCATACAGGTAAAACAAGTGCGTAAACTTTTCTTCACATTTATATTTCTTTTTTTTTTTTTAATTTTAAATCAATGTTGTTGTGAATGACATGGTTAGAAAGTGTCTTAACCAAGATTTAAATATTCAAAACAGCAGAAAGAATTTCAGTGTGCTGAGTTTTCAGTGTGGCTGCTTTCCCCAAGTGTGAGAGTCACTTTCCACAAAGGGATTTAGGTGATTTTAGAAACTATGCTTTCTTCCTTTGTGTTTAAAAAAATTTCAGCTTGGCAAAATAAATTCTGTCAGTTATTATGAAATGAGCATCACGGTCTCAGCCCACAAATGTCAAGTTGATCTACTGCCTTTACTGAAAGATCCCTACAAGACAGAAATTTTAATTCTAGCTTTAGCCAAAGGTCTGTAATCTAAAGTATTTGTGCCTACTCATGCTTCTCCCAAGTGTCAGCTGAGCCTAATGCAGGATAGCACAGCAAAGCTCCTGCTCTTGCTGCTGCTGCTCTAATCTCTCCAGCAGATAAAAGCAGTGCCTTTTGCAAACCCACACTGACAGACACTAAAGTAAAAGCTTACTCAGATATTCAGGGGCCTTTTAATTTTTTTTTTTTTTTGGTAGAAACCGTAGTATTTCATCTAAAAAAGGGGGGAAAAAAAGGGAGGCCATTTTAGTCTACTCTGCCCTCACATGAATGTAAACACCATTAAGGAGCAACTGCAGCAAGTTCTGTATTTTAGTTTTAAGTTTTAGAATTAGTCCTGTGTACTGACATCTGCTGTTCCTTCTGCTGTGCATGCAGTGTTTTTACCAAATAATTGTTTACCAGCAGTGTTTTTACCAAATAATTGTTTACCAAGCACTTTGGCATGTTGTTGGATGTCACGGTGTTTTCCATACTGGTCTTAACCTTTTAAATTCAGTCTCTGTACAGATGGACAAGGAGCCTGAAAATCTTTTTCTCCCTGCTCAGAATTCTTTTTTCTCTTCTGGACCATAAAAAAAACACCACACATTTCAGACTTCCAAAAAATAAAAGAGAAATTTTAATAAAGGAAATGATTCACCTGAGAACAGTGGCATTTTCTGTGGCTCTGGCCAAATAAATGCTTCACCCAATGGCCATGTCTACACTTGCAATCTGCAAATGGCAAAGGCTGTGCTCCTGGGCTGTTCCCATGGTCCTGGTGAGCTGCAGGGCCTGGCTCTCTGTGCATTTCCATGAAGAGAGATGTTTTCTTAACCAGCGAGAGGTAACGTTCTGGGAGAGACAAAATGGCACGTGGTGGTAACACTGGGATGAGCTGCATTCCACATCACATTTCACTGCTAACTGAGCTGCTAATTCAGGACTTGCATGACTCCAGCCATTTTTTATAGCCCAGATTAGCTACAGTGAAGAATTTGCTCTCTTTGGTGCCAGTGAAGCTCCTCTCCCTTACCCCAGCTCCCCCTGGGATCTGAGCCCCACCAACCCTGCTGTGCTTTGCTGCCTGCCACTGGCACAGCACCTGGGCTGGGGTCATGGAGTCAACACTCCATGACAAGAGTTTTGGATGTGTCATCTCCTGAGGGGGATGAGCACGAGT